CAAACACATAAGAGTAAAGTCAAGTTTGCTACCTTATGTCCTTAAGCTTTCTTCTTACTCCTTTTTGCTTCCAACTATTGAGGTTACTTGCTCAACCCCATCCAAACCTTCTTTTGGATGCATCAAGGTCCTAATCACAACCACAAGAGTCACATTACTCATTAGGACCAAGAATTACACAATATGGAAGACTTATGTCCTTAAACTTAATCCCCTTCTTTCTTAATTTATAATGTAGTGTTCTAGCTTTGTAAAAATTGTTCTCTTAGGCAAATCCTACACAATTTTACCCAAGGAATCCAAATATGAACTTAGATTCATCAAAATCCAACTCCTTCCCCTGGTTCTAGGCCAAAACCAAAATCCGCCACTTAATTTCCAGTTTTGATTCTAATGCTTCCAACTTCATTCTTTCATCTTATCCCTACACAATTTTTCATTTTAAACACATTGGAAGCATCAAAATCATCAAAATCATATCCTAGGTACAAGAATCAGGTCTGGTTGAATTACTACTCCAGTTGCACCATCATGAAATTCAACCAATTTCAATATAAAACCACTTGATTCATGTTCCTTTCAAGCCTTTGAATATTAATCTAACATCAATTTCATCTCCCTTCACACTTAACAATTTCGTGCAGGACCTCCCCCAACCAAGCTCAACAACAACAACAAGAGTAGTGAAAACTACATCAAAAACCATGAACATACCTTGTTTTGGAACTTGATCTTGCATATGACCACTTGGCCTTTCTTTCTCCCTCTTCTTTCTCTCTCTAGAAATCATTTTGCTAGAGCTTTCCTAAGGTTTCCATAGCTTAGGATGAAATGAAAGGGAGGGGAGGGGTATTTATAGAAAATAAGACTGAATCTGGGCCATTGATCTTAAAAATACATGACCTAATCTAGACCGTCCATTTTCTCTTTTAATCTTATGGTGACAAGTGTCCCGTGACATCATGCTTACCTCATCATAATGACATCATGCTTACATCATCAACCCACATGCTTTTAATTCAACCGTACACATGTCTTGCATCCAACTGTACACGTAATATCTTCTTTTCCCATTTAATTGTACACTTATCTCTTCCATTTTTCTTCATCATTAAGGCACTAAAATAGGAAGAAAATTAATATAAAATTCGTGCAAAATAAAACCCTAAGGCATTCCTCCACCTATCTTGCCATTCTGCACCGTGTATAGTACTTTTTGGGTCTTGACTTTTCTGGGACCACTGGGGTATGTTCTGGTACCTTTTTCTCACCTCAAATAAATCCACATGAAATTATATAACATGCCTAAAGAGAGAGTGATGCTTTTTCCTTGTTCTTCCATTAAAATAATTAATAATAATATTTGTTTCAGAGTGAACTTGACCGAATTCTTTCTACTGGTCCATAACTCCGAGAATCTATCTCCGAGTACCAATACTATTTATTCATCATGGGGAATTCTTCTAATTTTTCTTAAGTTCAAAGTCAACCTCTAGACCTTTGACTTTCACTTTTCCTGGATAGTATGTAAACAGGCTTTAAATTACATTAAAACCAATCTCTTCGCTTTTGGGGACAAAATTATTTTTAAAACCTGTGATAATTCCCCAAGTATTTTTTCTCATTTTCTTCCAATTATCTAAGGCCTCCCTATATTTTAATAATTTATTTTTTGAAAATATTCTAAATCAGTCAAAACCCTGGGAATTCCACAATTCCTTCCAAGGGCATTTTGGTCATTTTTAGCCTCATATAGGCCTCTAAACCTTATTTCCATTTTTCTGAAATTTTTCTGAAGTGTTCAGGCCTTAACCTACCATTTGTAGGGGTGTTCATGAAATCCAATTGCCGTTATGCCTGTCCAAGCCCGCAAAAAAATGCCCTACTCGCCCTAAAAAAATTGGCCTGAAAGAACTATTGGGCATGTTCGGGTTGGGCAAATTTTTGGGTAGGGCTGGGCATCGAGCATGGTATGCTGCCCTGCCCGCAAAAATATATATAATTTTATTTATATTTATTTCCTGAATCAAATGCACTGTTGCATTGTTCATTATACTTATTTATTTTTGAATGGTTTTGAGAGTTAGAAACTAGAAAAATAATTAAGTTTAATAAAATATACAAACAACAATTTTTTTTCATAGTCCACTCCTCCTAGCTACTACAAAAAATAGTTTCATAGTATATTAATTAGTAATAACAAAATTAAGGCTAAGTTGCCATTTTAATATAAAGTTACATTAGATTATTTAGAGGAAGATAAATAATTAGTTAATTAATATAGTATATTGATTTGTTGGGTATAGAAGCCCGCCCTGCCCAACACGTATTTGCCCAACCCAAACTTAATAGGGCTTTTCATGGGTAGGGCCGGGCAACGGGCTGCATTTTTCAGCCCGTTCATCCTTCGAGCTGGTCATCGGGCAAGGGTCTTACCCTGCCCAACCTTACCCATGTGCAGCCCTAGCCATTTGCCATTTTCTAGGATTTTTCTAGAATTTTCGGGCATAATTTCTATTTTTGCCCTAACTAGCCCAAAACTTTATAAAATTACGATTTTACCCTTGGTTTGGCTTAATCTCAAAATTCATCTCATTGAGACTTCCAACATAACTATTGGCCTACATTTACCTCTATTTTTTATTTCTGGGCCTCGAGACTTCACTAGAGTCTTTAACTTTCTCTTAGTCCCGGAAACTTTTTCCCTTTGCAATTTAGTCCCTGGGAATCCCTCTGTCATTCTAGAGAATCTCTAGGACCTCTGCCAAAAAGGAGTCTAGTAGTCTACCCATTTCAGGCTAATTCTAGTACTTCTAGGCCTAAAATTCGGAATCTAACAAGAAAAATCAAACTCCAAAGTATAGTAAAATATACTAATTACTCCTTTATTTTACCTAGATTATAAAGACATCCCTTTTTATTTTGAAAATGCATGTTAATGGAACCATCCTCTCTATTCTTCCCCTTAAAGAACTGAATCACGAAAGCTGTAATTGAAACAGATTGTGCAGAGGTGTTTTGGTGTTGCAAAAGGAAATCCAACTGAAAATGCTAAGTGGAGGGGTCGGTGGGAACTACAATCTATTATTTCAGTTCTAGCTGCAACTGTTTCTGCTAAAAGGAAAAAAGGCTCAAGGGTGGAAGAAGGATTAGAGGATGGAAGTTTTGATCAACGTGGAATTGGTTGAGGATCTTAACAAGATGTAATGCTTGGTATGGTTTTGTATCTGGTTTATAAACTGTAATAGGTATAGGTTATAGTTTGCCACTGAATATTCTTTTATGCTTGAAAACTATTATCTTCTTTTCTTCTTGTTTTTTTTTTTTTTTTTTTTGCCGATTTAGCTGTATTAACTTGTACGAGTAGGTTTTTCTTTTAAGGTTTTTGTTTTAATCTCTTGAAGACAAAGGAGCATATTACAGTGTCAAACTTTCAGGAGGAAGGAAACAGAGGCCTGATTTTATGGACTTCATCACTTCAGGTTTTGAGAAACTACACAAATAATTATATCTCATACTACAATAATACACATCTTTTTACAAAAGCTAAAGCTGACTGACATAAAGCAAAAGTACATGACATAAAACCAAAGTAAGACAACCATACTTTTACAAAAGTCAGAGGCACATGACACACTAGGACAAGCCTACATTCTGTAAAGGCGATTGAGTAGAATCCGAAGTATCGGCAGTTTAGAGTGTTGGCTGCTGACTATTACCGGTCTGATTTGCATATAGGTTCCTGATCATAGGATATGTTGGAGCACTTCTTTTCTTCTTTCTGTTGTGTTTTTAATTTTTCTTTTTCTCAGTTTTAATCACATTTGTCCATTTGTCTCTTAAATTCGATGGGTTTCTGTCGCAGCAGGTTAGGATCCGGGAGATAAGGAGGAAGGCCCTAGGACTCTAAATCCATTTCTGACATTTATTTAGGAGTCCAGCTCATAGGGGTCTTGTGAGTGAAGGGGGGAAAGGATGATTTAGGTCTTCTGTAGCAGCAAACTGAGTTTCATCATGGGTTTGGGTTGCAGATCCCAGGGTGAGTTCAGTGTGGCAAGACAAACTTCGCTGGCTTGTATGATCCAGATCTACTTGTATAATCTTGCCAATGTTATGGGGGAACAGGGCCAAGTGAGGTGCATGTTAAATCAGGATTAGTCCTAGATGCTTATTCAGTTCACATAAAAATTGTCTTACTGGATGAGCACATCTGTTCCATGCTGTTTCCAGTTTGCTAAGGTGTGCCAAAGACAAGCTTGCTCTGCGTATACAGTCGCCCTAAAGGAGTAAACATGATGAGGCCGATGCACAACAAAGATGGAATAAACATTTTTATTTTGTTTACCTTTTGAAACATCCCAAAGATTATAATGGTTAATGACATTGCAAAGTTTTATAGGGAATCTTTCAATTGAGAAATACTATGACTCGCTCAAGGCAGGGGGGGAAAAAAGAGAGGGATGTATCCATTTTATTTAATTATTCACTTAAACAAATGATTATTAGAGCAGGCAACAACCATTTCATCTGGCATATGTGTTTTTCATTTTTCAATAGATTTGCATCTTTCATTAATGAAATTTTTTTGTCAAAACTATTTTTTATTTTTTTTACCGTCTTCTTTTAAGGCCGTGACCATCCCAGAATAACGCATCCACTGGGCTTTCAGACATACTTGTAGCATCAAAGTTAACTAAGAAGTACTCCGACTCGGCCACTGATATAGCAAGATCGTGCATTATGCATTTCATTAATCCATAGTCATAGGTTATACGTTTTTCCAGTTTAGGATTTCAAGAATAATTATGGCACAACTGAAAATTAACAAGACAATAATCCAATCCGCCTACAGGACAACATCGTTGGAGCTCCTACTATTTAGTGATATTACCTCCAGTCATTAATATAAGATTTGATTTGTAGTTTGAAACCTTATGTTGAGGGCCGGAAGTAGTATGTACATCGTCATAATATAATCATCGTCACAGAACCTATAAGCATTTAAGCAAGAATAAAAATTCCTTGCAATTTATACCAAATGTAAAGGAATATGTAAAATTTAAGCGTTTAGAGCCTAACGCAAATATATAACAGAAAAAAAAGGATGGAAAGATAATAGAACAACTTAATCATCCTCTTAAATCAAAATCCAAATGATACTACATATTAGAAGCAAACAAACCACCAATGTTGCAGACAATTTCTCTCCACTAACTGGATGGTTTACTGCAATAGTGAGTCATTTGATTAAATTTGGCGTTTTAGACCCAATAGATTTTAGAAGTACAAATCAATTTGTACCGCAAAAATTTTATTTGAAGAGTTTCAGACTCATCAATGCTTGAGGATGTTGACACGGATGAAATTAGAGAGGCCCAGATGCGAGTGCCTTGTCAAGATCAGCAATAAGATCATCAACATTCTCAATCCCCACAGAAATACGCACAAGATCTTCAGTTAAACCTCTGGCCTCTCGAACTGCCGCAGGTATGCTAGCATGGGACATAAAGCAAGGCATGCTTATGAGGGATTTCACACTCCCTAACAACAAATATCACAGGTCAGCATTTTGCAGGAAAAAATTCACAGCTCAGACATATGCCTGTCAACTACTCATAAATTATCAAGGTTACCATTGAAACCTATACTAGGTCAGCAATGATCACTCAATGAATAGTAAAATCACATGGTCAATGTTATGATATTGGAATAACAAAGAGGAAGGGAGAAAGAAAGAAAGGGAAACAGAAATAGGGAAGGGAGGATCTGAGAGAGAGAAACAGAAATAGAGGAGAGATGAGATGAGAGGAATAGAAGAGACGAGAGAACTAAGCAACATGCTAATCCATATGATTCATAATCTACCTTACAAACGGGGTACTTAGGATTTATTTATAAGGCCACAAGACTTCTAACTGTCTCACATTCCTATAACTAGCCATTCTGTTATGGTTGTTTTTCATTTATTGCTATTCTATAAGAGTCAACAAGTAAACCATACAAAATGCTAACATGCTAACTGCTGAAGTTGCCGTTAGCAACATGTAAATGATGAATTCAAGTAAACGAACAATTTACATGACAATGCATATTTCCAGAGCATACTTCTTTATTAGACAAATGAAAACAAGAAGATTGTGCTTGACAGCAGATAAATGAAACATGAAAATTTAAGAACAGTTCGTCTATAACTCATCCCTTACTAGAATCTTATGTCGTTAATGGTTTTTTAATCACATTTTCCCCCCTCATTATCTAAATATCATTATTTTTTGGTCAAATTTTTTTTTTTTTTTATAAAAAAAAGACTCATTATTTTTTGCCTTCTTTTCCTTTGTTTAAGTCTCGGGAAGCAATAAACTAAGGTTTTAAAATTGAGCACCGTTGAGTAACAGAAGACGGAATGGCCCATAAAGCCATAAATATCGCCACTTAACATAAATGATCATATCATCGAGCTTCGTAAAGCTACATCGTCATGACAGACTGAAAGATACCATCACAAGACAGTTATATACTTGTAGGCTTAATTTTGGTCCTTTGTTCAGCTCACTAACACGATATTGTGCATCTACATTAGTCATGAGTGCAATTCAGTCCCTTTAATCTCAATTAGAGCATTGTACCTAAAAAATTGGAAGGGCGAGAGATAACCTTTGTTAAGAAAATCTGGAATTAAGAAATTAAAAAATTGTCCTTAATTACTCTTCTTATTCATATAATCGGAGGCAGGATCACATAAATTTGAACTATATGGACTAAATTGCTTTAAAAAAAAAAAATTAGAGAGACCAACAATACATTTAAGCCTATTCTTTTATTAGCAATTCAAAACTCCTTTGTTAGAGTACATGGAGAAAAATATTTACCGAAGCTGACAGTTATGCTAAAGTATTTGGTAGTTTCAACAACATGCTTCGAGAGAGCCAGTGAGCCTGTCAAAAAGCTCAGCACTGATCCTGCCCCCTTAGCCTGCAAAACAGGATCCCAGTGAACGTATAAAATCATTTCAGGCTATCAGCGCCCCAAAAAAAGAACAAAAATGAGTTTCAACACGTAAACCATACCTGAGAGTAGTGCAGGTCACGTCCAGGATGACCAGGAAGACCAGCATAGTTTACTTTCTTTACTCGGGGATGGGAGGCAAGAAACTCAGCAATCTTTTGTGCACTCTTCTGCAAAGCATATTGGCTCTAACTATTACTTCGTTTATAAAAATAAACAATGATACCATATAGGAGCTATCTTAGCACTGAAATTTACAGTGGAAGCTTAGCTAAAGACACAATCTGATTTTGAAAAGCAAAAGATTCAAGACATCATTCGAAATTCATAAGTTTATGAAAACCACAAAGCATATAATAATCCAGCAGGGATGTAATAATTAAAATAAAAGATGGACTAGGAGTATACATAATAAAAGATGGATTCAATCACTTGTCTCAATGTCACACCCAGCCTGATAAACATGTGGCATGTTGGAACATATTATGGAAGTTGAAGCTTCCACCTAGAATCAAAAAACTGGTCTGGAAAATCATGCGAGGGATACTATCCACAACACAAATTCTGCATCAGCATCACCTTAATGTGAAGGAGGTACGTAGCTTTTGTGGTGAAGACAGTGAATCTTTTAAAACATAATTTTTTGCATTGTCCTTTTATAAGGTCTGTTTGGTTTGTCTCAAGCCTGGGACTTAGATCAGATGCTAACTTACAGCGGGGCATTAAAGAGTGGTTGCAGGTCTGGATTTGCAGACATAGGATACACAAGAAGGATATCGATTGTAATTTGTTTCTACCTTCTTTCATATTAGATACAACCTTTTTTTTTTTTTTTTTGGAGACCAAAGCTGTTTTGCAGGAAAGTCATACCAATAAAGGGAACCAATCATACAAGCCATAAGGAAGTGTGCAACTTTCTTTTATGCAACCTGAAGGAATGAGGAGACAGAAGCTAAGAATAAAGCAGCAAGAGCACATTTGGAGCATCCACATGGAATCAACTTCAGGCAATATGAAGAAATACAAGGGGTGCAGCAAGGTTGGAGAATGTTATTCAAGCCTCATCGAACCAGAAGCAGAATACGAGAGAATGAGTATCAAAATCTCTTTTCATTGGCATGAATATCAAAATCGGAGGTACAAGCTTCATATCAAGATTGAGACTTCAGGTACAACTTCAAGCCCTATGTGATGCGCAGGTTTTCATGTAAACGCAATGCTGCATCCAGATATGTCATGATCATCCTCTCAAACTACATGTACCCAAAAAAATTTTCCTTGTGTATTATACTGTGTAGGCATCTTATCCTCAATATATGGAATTGCTTATCATCAGGGAAAATGTGGCCAGGTAAACTAATCAATTTATCAAATAGATTGTACTCAAAGTGAATAAATTAGAAGGAAAACAGTTGTAGTATATTCAGATAATCCAATAATACATTCAAACATTCCTTAGACTAGAAAGTATCGACCAGTAACTTAATGTCTCATAAGGCACCTGTTGCTTCTCAACTCGCAGCTCCATTGTTTTCATTCCTTGCAAACAGAGCCAACATTCGAATGGAGCTAAGCCCGAACCCACTGCATTTTGTAAAAAATACATCTCTTTTGCCAAACTTTACAAGATGACAATCAAAGGCCCAAAAAAAAAAAAAAAAAAAAGAAGTCGAGGAAACTCAGTGCTGATCCACATGATTAATTGAATAAAAAATTATGAAACAGATGGAAAATGAAAATGAAATAAAAAATAAAATAGAGAATAGCTCACAACATAATAACAAACTTATCGTGTGAAGAGTGACTTAGACCAGGCCATTTGAAAACAAGGAATAACGCAGGAAAGAGCAACAAGAGTATTTCATTCTTAATTATAAGAATCACAAGAACACCAATCATCAGCAAAATTTGCCATTGAATTGAAATTTAGTTCACAAATTCCTGTACATAACTAACAGATTGACAAAAGTGGCGCACAAATAAATCAATATCTTCAAAATCATAAATGTGTCAAACACAAGAATAAGAGACCCAACCTTTCGCCTTTCACAGCAATGACACCAGCCATGAGATAACTATGTCCACCAATAAATTTGGTAGCTGAATGCATAACAATATCTGGAGAAGGGAAAAAATTGTAGCTGTCACTTAATTGAAATTTCTTTTTCCTTTTTTGTTGTTAAATGTAACATACATAGGGTGTTTTAAACAAATTCTTAGCATAGCTGAGTTTTTAAAACATATCTATATATAAATATATTGCCCCCAAATATTGCTTCAATTCACACAACAAGTTAAAAGAATTAAAAGTATCATGAGACCAAATGTGACATTTTAAGTACTCCCAGTGGCTAGTTCATTTTAACAAGCATGCAAGTTGTTAAATCTCATTATACTTCATTATATTGCAATGGTTATATGAATACCTGCCCCAAGTTCCAAGGGTTGGCATAATACAGGAGACATTATACTATTGTCCACCAATACAAGAGCACCATGTGCATGAGCCATCTCTGCTATTTTCTGGACATGAATCAGCAAAATGAAGGAAATTTTTTAAGTTGAATTAAACCACCCAAAAGAATTCCATACTACATATCATACATGTTGTTTGAGGTGAGCTCCATGCAAGAAGTAGATAAGAATTTTATAAGCATAGGCCTTTTGTTCTTCACTTATGCAAGAAGAGACAACAAAAACTACTGATTTAATAAATTATGCCAGTAAGAACAGTTGAACGGCAAAAGGAGGGATAAGTCCCGAGGGCTCAATGATATTAGAAAGGGCAAGAGGCAACTACTAACCCTGTACTGTCCAGGCAGTTAGAGAGAAGAATGAATTGGGTAAAATACAGGATGGTGGGTCCAATGAAAGGGATAGGAGGTATAACAGTGTTGGAAAGTCTAGCCGCTCAAAGTGCAAGGAGTGGTCTCTGTGAACGTGGCTGTTTTACCTTCATTTTCCACACTTGTAACTGTCTACCAAGACTTGAAATACAATCTATGCTGAAACGCAATATTGTGAAACTTAAAATATTCAAGTTCAAATACAATATATACCAAAATAATAATGTGCTTTTCTTTATAATATTTGAGTTTATTTTGCAAATCGAGAATAATCACATCAAAGGTGAGTAACAAACAGCAAAATCCAATAAACTTCTCTAGCCAGAAAAATTGAGACCAATCACATTACCAAAAAAACTAAAATAACTGCAGCAGCAGCAGCAATAATAATAAAACAACATAGTTTACACAAAAAATAGTAATCTAGACCTCAACTATATATTGTGACAAAAGCAATCACTCATGCTTCAACTTTCTGTATTTGCAACAAAGACAGTGCCTTAGCAAATAACTAAAGTTTAATGTAAGATGCTTAGGCCTTATAACGGCTCAAAAGAAGACAACAACAAAAACAATACGCTTCCAACTTATGAAAGAAAGCAGCTTACTCGAATATCAGATATTTGTAACCGAGGATTGGTAGGACTCTCCAGCCACACTAACTTAGTCCAAGGTCCAATAACAGAGGCTACCTCCTCTAGATCACTTGTATTTACTCGTCTGTGCATGCAAGCATTACAACCTCATTATCAATGGAGGCCATAGTTCTTGGAATCAAATAAGCAATCCAACAATAATTTGCTTCATAATTCAATACTCCACAGGAAAAAACATATGAAAAGATGAAAATCACACTTACTTCACCACAACTCCGGACTTTGGAATTACACGGGACAGTAGTCTATCTGAACCTCCATAGATGTCATCTCCAGCAACAATTTCATCACCTACATGACATTATACAAGTAAATGACAATAAAAGCAACCAGTCCAGAATACATAATCTCCCATGAAAACTATGAGAATATATGCACAAGTTGTCTCCGCCATATCCATATAATGAAAATAAAATTAGATGTATTCCAACATATGTAAAGTTCAATAAAAAATTATATATTCACAACCACATAACACTATAATCTCAGACCACAATAGATGCTTAAATAATGTAAATGTCATCTCTAGCATGGTATAAGAAAAAAATGAAGACAAAATGTAAAAAAATCATTTGATATCAATATTTAAAGAAGGCTTAATAATTTAAAAGCTTGAATTTTTATTAAAAAAATGACTTTGATTTCTTGTACTGTCATGTACTTATTTATTGCACATAATATTTGAATTGAATATATCTACAAGCTTCCAAATTTACTTTTCAGCCTAAAAAATGCTGAAGTTTATTGCTGACCATGATGAGAATTCTTGATTGAGTGTTGATTACGATTGATTACATTTGATTAGGAATGACCGTACATAATCGGGGAGATTTTATTTTGTAATTTTTCTGTCTTTATTAGCCATTATTATGTTGTATTAGGATTGCATTATAAATAAGAGGCTCCACTAAGTCAAAAACACACTGAATATTTTTTCCTCACATTCTCTCTTTTCTCATACTCTCCTATGTGGAGCACCGAATGGCTTATCTTGTGAGACATATTTGTACATATAGACAGCGCCAAAAAAGACAATTCATTTAACCAATTTTATTACAAATTACTTTAAACAGATATACTTTCACGCTTGCATATTTTACAAGCTGAGATACAAAAACAAAACAGACTAAGATGAGGAAATGCACCAGATTTAAAAAGTTGACAAACGGCACTCAAAGCAGCCATTCCACTACTGAAGCAAAAGGCTCTATCTGCTTTGTCAAGCTTTGCCAGTAACCTGAGGATACAAAATATACGAAGTAGAAGAGATGGAACAAAGAAACAGATAAAGACAAAATCAAGACAACAAATCAGGTCAAACCTTTCTAAAGCATCTCGGGTAGGATTTCCACTTCTAGTATAATCGTAGGGGCCATTTTCTGTTGCAGAAGGCTGCATGAAGAAGTATAGAAGACAAGTGCCATATGAAAAGAGTATCATGGAATAAAGATACTAAATACAAAATAACTAAAGAGCTCAGCATGTACAGATCAAGTTTTCACCTGCTTAAAAGTAGCAGTTTGGTAAATTGGTGTACTGACCGCTTCATAAGGATCAAACTCATTATCAAAATTCATTAAAACTGTAGAAAGACCAGGCTCACAGGACTGTTCTTCTGCCAAAAAAAAAAGTTGAAACTATTTACGTATAAAACAAAATATATACACACAGTATCAACACAAGAAACATAGCAAAACTACTTGAGCACTCCGCAATACTGTCCACCAAAGCCGATGCGCCCACAGCCATTTCTCTATCAAGTGAACAACTCAGTCTGAACCCCTTTGCACAAATCAGTCGGTTTGACTTCAAATTTGCTGACTCGTAAAATCCCAAGCTCTCCCACATATTTCCAGCAGTTGTGCTCTGAAACAGAATGAGAAATGAAAATGTTATGCATACAAACTACGAATTGGAATCTTAATTTTATCAAGGTCTTGTTTGTCTTCATAAAAGTTAGATACAAGAGTCAGACTCTCCCAGCATATGAATTATTGTCACCATAGTTATACTTCCAGTAACTACAACAAGAATGCATTATTTTGGTGAAGATGCCAACAACTCAGTGAATACCAACAATAACCGTACAAGGTGCATAAAGTGTTTGAAAGAATGGTCATTGTTACCTTAGCTTGGAGATCAATAGCCACTTGAGTAACAAAAGGCTTGAGAAAAACTGAGGCTGAAGCCATCACAGATGATCAAGAAAGAGCTAGGTTTTTCTTGTGCTCTTCAAGGCCGTGGAGCTTTGGCTTGGTATGTAGTCCCAATTTTATGCATCCAGATTACCTAAACAAGAATTTCCTGAGCATCTCTGCTCATCACCATCATCTTAGCATTTCGAATCATACAAGACACCACAGAACACCATGACTTAGGGAACCTAAAACATAACAGAACCATTTCAAAGCCAACAAAACAAGGTGCCAATAACGTAACAATGCACAGTAATAATTCAGTAGCAATGTGATAAATTCACCTTTGCTGACACCATACGTATAAAGCGAAATCTAGAGGAATGGTTGAAATGGGTAAGGCACCTTTTGTTGGGCAGAGGGTTGACTTAGAAGTTACTACTAGTTTGGAGAAAGGGATAAAACTCTCAGTGGCCATAGGGTTGCTGTTAGCTGTTAGCTTTTACTTTAGGGTTATTTTGGGGACTTTGTTGTGCACTTTTTGTGATATTGGAAGCGTTGGAGTCTCTAGGTTATGATATGGATCATTTTGTACTTAGAGAGTGGGAGAGGAGTGCTCTAGCTGCTCGAAAGCCAGGAATTGTGACTGGTTTGTGGCCTTATTTTGTTGTTGTACTCCTATTCTTATCATAACAGAGGAGCTTTCTTGTGATGATTAATCACGGTCCAGAAATTTTCCATTAATCTTTACTTCAGGTTATATCACAATGCAACAAGGTATCATGCAATTTACTAAAATGTATAGCACCAACCAATCCAGCTCAAAACCACCACAACAAGCAACAATGATAACAGTCAATTCAAGACCATATTAGAACAAATCAAGCAAAACCTGCAGAACCAATAGAACATATACAAAGCCCATTTGATTAAAGCAAAATGCAAAGCTTCCAATGATCAATTAATTGATTCATTAAAACTTCAACATCAAACCATCTTATTCAATTCATGCAAACTACAAAGCTTCCCACAGATTGACAACACATCTGATCCCAGCAAAGTCTCTGATTCTCTCCCTCTCAACAGCAGTGGATAACAGGGGATGATGCCTGTGAAAGATGCAAGTGATGATGATGCCAACTTGGAGAGAATGACAATCCTTGAGTTGAGGATAAACGTGCTCAAAGGTTTGCTTCAATTTTTGTTGGTTTCGATTGGTTTAAATCAAAATAATGAATTTAATTTGAAATATTAAGGCTAAGCATACTTCTCATTTTCATTTTTTTCTTCCTTCCTCTTTTTTATAATTTGCATTTATAAGAAGATTCCTCATTATTAAGAAACCATTTAACCATGAATTTGTGCAAGTTTGAACGCTATGCATAATTAATAAGAATACATTGTTTGGACTTTGGGCGCCTTGCATTGGCATGACCATAAGACTGTTATTATCTGTAACATGCACCCAAAAGAGGGGGGAAGGTGAGGAGATTCATTATATTAAATCTCAAATTAATGTTACTTAAAGAGAATATTATTTTTCTCTGCTACAGCTGCAAGGTGACTCGCTTTGATGGTTATATATATGTCAATTAAATTTCTTCAATTCAATCCGCTATGATTCATGAATAACTATGAAAACTATCATATCCAAATAAAATATCCATACCTCACAGGCAATAAACACCGGTTTGTAAGTAGCATGACTTACATTACATCACAATCTGTGTTAATGATTATAATGAAATGTAACTCACTCTTTATCAAACAGTGGAGGTTCCCACATGTGAAATTATAGAAGATCATTCTTAGTTTAGTCACGTATCCTTGATACCCACTTGCCATTTCTCATCCTCTATTTTACGGAACGAGACGAAGTAACAAAACCAACCAGAAGCAAAGGAAATGTGGAAATTTGTTAGTTGTAAAGTGCATTGCACAAGGTGGGCCTATCAATTAAAAAGCTTTCTCTGAACTCTTATCAAATTAGTTATCTATTTTGATCCCTTATACCATTCCCCTGCTCTTTCTCAAAATTAAACATCCCACTTTCACCTCTTCTATTCATTATTTATTTAAACTACAAGCTTCAAGCTACTCAGCCGGCAAATCAGAAGCAAAAAAGGAGGCGGCGAGCCAGAAACAACAAACCAAAGGACGTTCAACAGAGAACAGAAGGCAGAAACGAACCTGAAGAAGAACGAAAACCAGAACAGAATAATAGAACCGAAAACCAGAACCACGACGAGCAACGGCGGAATCGAGCAGCAACCACGAAGCAGAAGGCAGTGGGTGAAGCAGAGAGGGCGAGTAGTGAAACAGAGGGAGCTAGCCGGCGGGGAGCAGGGGTTCTGATTCTCTAAAGTAAAAGAGGAAATATTTGAGGACTTTAATGTAACGCTTCTGATTTGATAGAATAGCTTAAAGATACTATGACTTGTACTAAAAAAAAATGATAAAAGGTAAGGAAAACTGAAAGTAAATTGAAAAATATCTGAGGATGCGTTGCGGGAACTCCTGCGTATCAAAGCAATTACCCCATGGTCCTAAGGTTCGAGTTTCCTTTTTTTTTTTTTTTTGCAATCGTAATTAATTTGTTTCTGTTCTTTTTTAAAATAAATGTTTAATGATGAATAGTGTAAAATAAGCTACATAAGGTTGGCCAAAAAAAAAGGCTACATATAAAAAAAAAAAAAAAGGAAGTGATCTGAAGGCACAACGACTTGTACACTTCAATGCATTAATTGGAGGGGGAAAAAAACAGTAAATGATACACAGAGGGAGGGGGAAAAAAAAAGTTGACATTAAAAGGAAAATACTGTTGTTAAGCGTAACAAACGACCAACGGAACACCCCAAAAGTCAAGAATATAAAACAAAACAATATACCTTAAATCATCAATCAAAATAACTCCTAAAATTCCTCTTGTATGTAAAAAATAACAACTCCTTAAATAAACAAGTAAAAGAACAAAGGAAAACTAGCTGGTCAAAAAAAAACAGAGGAAAACTAACCATCATCTAGCAAAACATGAGTACAATGCCTCCAAAACTATAGATAAAATTTGAAAGAACTGCAATAAGTTCTCATGAAAAGAATATATTCATAAGAAAATTCTTATAAGAAATAAGTAGTTTTATTATTTTTTATTCTAAAATTTGTTATTATGAGTTTCTTAGTTGTCGTTGAGATTTTTTGTAAATTTGTTTCTTTTATGAGATTTCATTACAATTCTCTCATGAAATTTTAGCAAAATTCGTTTACCTCAAAACCAATTAAAAAACGGAGGTCAAGGTAAAATTATTTTTTTTAAGTAAATCTAAGGTCATATTATTACTTTATTACAGTGGTTAGTTTGCTATCCATCCTAGATCATTTTTCTTTTCTTTTTTTTCCTTTTTATCAGCATATCATTTTTCTAACTTTATCAATTACATTGTGAAATAGATCATGAAAGTTTTATACTCCCTCTTCTCTTTACTATAAGTTTTAAATAATTAATTTATGGATAATAAAAATTAGTTCAAATAATATTGAAATAATAAATAAGTTAAAAATAGACTATTTTAAAATAATAAATAAGTTAAAAATAGACTTTTATTTTCAAATGTATTTTTACAATAAATGAGAAAAAGATGAAAGACGATAAGAGAGAAATAATTAAGGAGAATATTAAAAAAATACATTAAATGTTAAAACAAATCCAAATTAAAACTTATAAAATGTACCACATCCCTTTCCAAATTTAAAACTTAGAAATAGGATCAAAAGGAGTATTCAAGTATTCTAATATTTCAATCAAAAGATCATATGACAGATACGTTTAATTCAGCTTGTAATATACTAATCTCATATAGAATTAAATAAAACTAAATTTTAAAAAATCGTTTTGAATATAATGATGTTTTTCTAGAAAAAGAAATACTCCTGCGTAACAAAGACCTATGGTATTTTAAATGGCATATTCACTCATGAATATGCGGAATCAACAAAGAAAAAGAGTACAGCCAAACAAGGTATATGCGGTGGTTCTCCTGCGCAGCTTCAAAGACTTTTATTTTCGTCATCCTTTGATGATGTCAGAACTACTGAACCCCCAACTACGAATACGGATAGTTCAGGGCTTCGATTTATTTTATTTTATTATTAATCGCTATTAAGAGTTGCAAATTTATTTTTACTCTGAAATTTGTAATACTATACGACTCTCTCCGGTGTTTAATATGAAAACGACTTAACTAATTAAAATAAATTTAAAAAATTAATTAATTTAATTATTTGTAATCAAAATGAGTTCATTTTTCTAAAACATTCTTTTTAATAATGATTATGTTTGGATAAAATCTCGCAACATGTGCAATCAATATGGTACTTTAAAAAATAAGAGAAAGAATTACAAATTTAAGGGACCAAATAAATTGAGATCTTATATTTATAGCCAAGTCAAATCTCCAACTAGCTTTTATATTAAAGAAAAAAGTAGTATTTTTTTAAAAAAAAAAATTAATTGAAAATATAAGAAAGATTGTGTTGCAAAAGTTAATAACCTGTTTGGTTCAATTCCATGAAAGTTCATTACATGCAATCCTGATGTAATGGGCTGATTCAATTGTTTGGTTGGGTTTTTGTAATGTAAAAAGAATTACATATTGTAATCCTAATTACCTTAAATGGATGCATGAGGATTACATAGCTAAGACTCATAAATGGGGATGTAGACTTCTTGTAATGAAGTAGAAAATATTTTATTACCCTTATAATTTTTAAAATTGACCAGATTGCCCTTAATGAAACACTCATAAACCCTATCAATTGCTACCCATTGTGTTCACACCGCTGCCGTCTTCCTTACTGCGGCCAACGATCATCATTGCGCTGGAAAGGTAATCACTTCTTGACTCATCCTTGTGGATTTCTTTTGCATTCGTTCTTCATCAATTTTTGCATGCGTTATATTCTTTTCTAATTTGTAGAGATAATAGACTAATATTAAATAGATTTGGTACATGTGAAGAGTATGCTTTTTTTTACTGAATACCAATAGACCTATACCTATTAAATATAGATAAAATTTTAATTATCAAACCTGCCTTATACTTTAATTAATATATATATGGGTACGAGCCAATTTTATGGTTTTTCCTATTATATATATAAATTTATATTTTGATATGTTATACATATGAACGGATAGGGGTAATTTGTCTATTATTTTTCATTATATGTATGGATATGGTTATTATACATTTGGAGGAAAAAATAGACAATTTTAATTATATATATATATGAGCTTGTAGATAAGGGTAATTTTGTCTTTTGGTATATTATTTTTACCTATTCCCATGTTCTTTGTAATCCAATCAAACATTTTTGTGTCTATGCATCATCTTTATTTAATGACGTACCAAATAAACTCATGTAATCATTATTACATTACATTCCATTACATTCTATATCATTCAATGAACCAAACGGGCACTAAGAGTATCCAAACAAAAGGCAGTTGATGTGTGGAACATGATAAGTGATTTGTTGTTCTTAAAAAAATCTAGATATACTAAAAGGGAAAAAACATTGTGAGTCTAATAAAAGTAATATAATTATTAAAATGTTCCAATAATAAATGAGCATTAATCTCCGTATTTAAAAAAAATGAGCGTGAATCTTATTATCATGTTTTATATTGGAACTTATCATTTAGGGAAAATTGCAAAAAAAGACCTTGGAATTGCAAAAATACAGATAAGGACCCTTGACAGCTTCACTTTGGGTTTTGACAATAATAATATGTCATGAAGTTGTCAAAACCCAAAGTGAAGTTGTCAAGGGTCTCTATCTGCGTTTTTGCAATTTCAACATCTTTTTTTGCAATTTCCCCTATCATTTATTTATGATGAGACTTTTTAATAATTACTTCTCTGATTCTAAATATAAGACCTATTACACTGTAAAATGAGTATTATATTTAAAACCTAAAGAGTATTTTTTTTTAAACAACACAGTGATTTTTTCAATACAGAAAGCTTCAAGCTTACAACCTTTAAAAATGACAATAAGAAATAATGACATGAAAAACAATCTATCTATCTATCTATTTATCTACTTACAATATGAAATCTAGTGATGCTCGAATGAGGGAAAACGGGTTTTGGGGGTTTTCAAGTCAGTGCCCAGTGGTCCACTAACCTACTATTGGGCTGTCTAATGATCCAGATCCAAGCAACTCTTCCACCTCCACCTCCCCCTCCTTGTGATTTCCTCGGTCTCCCTAAACCAGATCTAAAGCTTAGTAATTGTTAGACGTTGTTGAACTTCAACCATCGTCAACCACCATCTTGACACAATAAGCCATGAGATTTGAGAAGGGATTCCGAATTCAAAGTCCAAGCCAGATGAAGAAAGTGAAGTCACGATTCTTCTTGGTTCTTAGAGATTGCAAGGGTGTCATTATCGGTAGTAAAGCTACTAATAATATATTAGTGTGGCTAGTTAATTCCATTGGTTATATATCTTTAACATCCATTAAATAACTCTTAATAATTAGGCCGTCCCTAGTGTTACTGACTTAATTCTTTGATGTACTTAATCATAACATCCATTTCATCATATTTAAATTCCCCAAGCCCTACATCTATCATAACCTTGAAGTTCCAAACTTGAAGTTCTATCATCAAGTGCATTGGTTTCCTCATATTATGATTCTAGGTGGCGAGATTATGTTCTATTTAGATTTACTTATAATTGAACTTCAAATCAAATGTATCTTCTAAAAGAACCTCCTATTTCTTTGTGCTTCCTTAGTCGCAATCACCTGGGGAAGAACAAATGGTCTTCCATAGAACAAAATCCAGCAAGCAGATTCCCTATAAAATCCAGTGAGAAACAAAATTCTATATTTGCTTTCTTAGTGGGCTTATGACTTGAAATCAAATCTCTTTGAACATATCTTCAGGGGGCAAATGGGTAGAGTCATTTGCTTAATATTTTTCCGTATTAAGCTTATGTATATTCAGATTTAGTGAAACGTCATTCCATCGTGTGAAAAGCAAGGTTATTTATTAGATATTTCCTTGAATGCAAGCTGTGTTCAACCAACATAAGGATTTTGGGTGACATTTACGTAAGTTCTATTCATATACACTGCCCTTATCAGTTGTCAGAGTAAATATTAAAAAAAAAATTACTACTTCCAGTCCTATTTATAAGATCTTGTTTGTAGATTATAAACAAAGACCTTATAATTAGAACCAGAGGTGGTATTTCTTCAAATCATTTTCTATTTTGGTTGCATTTCTTTTACTTAAAGAGGTTTTGTCAGCTACCCAAAGAGTGTGCCAAAGGAAAGCAAACCAAATGGGCATTTCTAAACATTCAATGGACAGTGATTCCTTGATCAAGT